AGTGGCAGCGGGGGACGCCGCAATCGTGCGGGCTACGCCCCTGCCCCTGCAGGACGCCTCCCTGCATTGTGCCTACATATGCAAATTAACCACCATCTTAGTTGGCAGTTAATTTGCATATAGCCCTGATTAGCCAATGAAAAGGGTATCGCCGTACACCAATTACCATTTTTGTCTTTTATTAGTGTAGATAAATAAGTTAACCTTAAACTTACTGCAAGGATTCAAGTACATGCACTATTGTGGGAGTGAGGGGAAAAGTTCATCAGAAATTACACAAAAATATATTCAGCTATTTCAGGGGAATGATTTGATTACTACTAAGAAGTGAACAATACAGAGAAAAAAAAACGTGAATACCTGAAAGTCACATGATATTGATAAACTGCTTCATTATGACACTGTATTTTGATAAGATTCAATCCCAAAGGTTGAGGTATTCCTTTTGATCCTTGCTTCACACAAAGCTCTCTGGAAAATAAAAAGCAAAAGCACCCACACATACCAAAACAAAACAAAACCATACACACACACACACACACACACAAGTAAGATAGGGTAAAGTAATATTTTACACTTTGCTTACAGGTACACAGAGCAAGAATTGAGACATACAAAAGCAAGCTCTGAAGGCTAGTAGATAAATGAGTAGCAATCTCTAATTAAAGAAGCAAGGTCATCCTATTTGTCCTAGTAATAGCACTAGGATAAATTAGGCCAGCTAACCTAAGAATACAAGAATGCATTCTATAAAGAAAAATGAATTGCTGAATGTTTTTCCTAAATGATTTCCTTATCTTCACCATGACAAAGAATTGGGAAAGAAATGGAAAGCCACAAGTCTACTCTCTGGTATATACCATCTCTATGTCATAAATCCCATTTCATATCATCAGAATTGTCCCACCTCTTTGTCATTCTCCCCATAAGCAAAAAAACAAACGAACAACCTTGCAATACCTATACACCATGGAGGACTTCAGACATCACAGAAACAATGTTTATAATACTATTAGAGGCCGGTGTATGAAATTCATGTACTGGGGGGGAGGGTCCCTCAGCCCGGCCTGCACCCTCTTGCAGTCCAGGAGCCATCGGGAGACGTCCAACTGACAAGTTAGGCCTGCTCCCTGGGGCAGGCCTAAGCTGTCAGACAGAGCCTTAGTGCTGCCAGGGAGGCAGGAGAGGCTCCCGCCACCATCGCTGCACTCGCCAGCTGTGAGCCCGGCTTCTGGCTGAGCAGTGCTCCCCCTGTGGGAGTGCACTGACCACCAGGTGGAAGCTCCTGCGCTGAGCATCTGCCCCCTGGTGGTCAGTGCGTGTCATAGCAACCAGTCATTCTGCCCTTTGGTCGATTTGCGTATTAGCCTGTTATTATATAGGACTAGAGGCCCAATGCATGGATTCATGCAATGGTGTAGCCTCAGTGTAGCTTTTGGTGATCAGGCCAAAACTGGCAGTCTAACATCCCCCCAAGGAATGTAGTAGGGCATGCAGCAGCAGGCAGCCGGGCAGGAACCCGAGCAAGGCCGGGGGTGCACTGCTCCCGCTCATCCTGGCCCTGCTACGCCTGCTGCCGCTGCCACTCAGGAGGCTCGCTACTGCTCCACTGCAGTCTCCACACGCCCACTCTAGGGCAATACCAGCGCACCCATGACCAAGAAGCGGCTGCGGGCTCATGCCCAGTCAGTCCCAATGCCAGTCCCAATCCCAGTCCAGATGGGGGAGGCTTGCGCCACCACAGCTGTGCTCACCAACCGTGAGCCCATCTGTCCCCTGGTGGTCAGTGCGCATCATAGTGACCGGTCAAATGGTCACTTAGGCTTTTATATAGACTAGAAGCGGGGTTCCCTCAGCTTGGCCTGCACCCTCTCGCAGTCTGAAAGCCCATGGGGAGCGGGCCTAAGCTATTAGTTGGACATCCTTAGTACTGCCCTAAAGGCGGGAGCCTGGCTTCTGGCTGAGCAGCGTTCCCCCTGTGGGAGTGCACTGACCACCAGGAACAGTTCCTGCGCTGAGCATCTGCCCCCTGGTGGTCAGTGTGCATCATAGCAACCAGTCGTTCCACTGTTTGGTCGATTTGCATATGAGCCTTTTATTATATAAGACTAGAGGCCTAATACACGAATTCATGCACGGGTGGGGTCCAGCCAGCCCGCTCCAATGAGGGCCAATTGGGGCTGGGCTGGTGGGAGGGCGTGGGATGTCGGCTGGCTCTGCCCCCGGGGGGGGGCAGGGAAAGGGGCCACAGAAGGTTGGGAGGGGGCCAATTGGGGCCCTGATTGGGCTGGTTGGCCGCTGCAGTGCACGTCGGTGGTTCCAGTCACTTGCCTTTTATACATATAGATGCGAAGGCTCCCTCCCACATCACTACCAAGCAGAGAAGGCTGATCTCCTGACTTACTTTTCCCTGTGCTCTGCTGTCCCCGTGAAAGACGATCCAGAGAGTGTAGTGAGGATGGAGGCGGAGGTGGCGGTAATGGCTGCTGGGCAGGACCCCGAGAAGGCATGCTGGTAGCACTGGGAGCCTGGTATATGCCTCTGCCTATACCACAAGCTGCTCTTCCTAATGGTAATACAGGTACATCCGAATTCCTTCCAAGCATTCTAAAATGTTAAAAAGAAACAAATCAGGACTTTCTTAATATTTCTATCTCTGCCCCATCTAAATGATTCCCTCAAGTCTATGTTCTCTTCCTGGAGTAGTCAGCAAGAGGGATATAAGCCTTGGGATTCTCTCCAAGTCCAATATGCCAATATGACTCACCCACCAACTGCTACTAATATTGACTCTCAGCCAATTTTCACAACAGAATTGAGGTGGGAGTTTGACTCCCTTAGATTAAAGAGCCACTGCAATCAGGTTAATTTTTAAGAGGGCAAATGAAGTTGTGAAGTGTCCAGTGAAGAACTACTTTTTTACCCTTTTCCAATCATTAACTGGATCAGTATCTGCTCAGTGCTCTTGAAAAGTATCCATTGTTTAAGACCATGCATTGTGAGCTAATCCAACCTTTTTAGAGTTGCCCTTTGGACTTGCAGAGACATTTCATCTAAATTTGACAGCTCCCTGAAAAGGGAATTTACCCACCTGTTCCAACCAGCGCAGGCCTCTGCCATCTTGCTGTCACCAGCAGCCAACACCGATGGATCCAGAAAAGTGTGACGTGGCTCTTCCTTTTCCTTATGCACCACACTGAGAGTCAAGCCTCGACCCAGAATGCCTCTACCTGAATGGAAGGATCAAGCCCCAGCTATAACTGTGAGTTGAACATGTTGTAAAGTATAGTTATTTTTCTGAAGATAAACTGTATGAATTTAAGAATAAAGCAAGTATACATACCACCATGTTTTCTCAAGTTAGTGTTTTACATACCTAAAGAAGGCATTTCCCGCTTCAGAGGGGTCTGGGACACAGTTTCAAGGCCCAGTCCTTGGAACATGGAGACCAAACCCACAGATTCCTGAGGAAAGTCAAAGAATAAAGCCATTCCAAGATATGGTTTAAAACCCCAGAATCACTGATGGTTTTCTTAAAGTCTTGGTAAATAATAAAAATCATCTTCTTTTTTAATGTATTGATTTTAGAGAGAGAAAGGAAGGGAGGAAGAGAGAAACACTGATTTGTTATTCCACTTATTTATGAATTTAGTGTTTGATTCTTGTATGCACTCTGAATGAGGATCAACCACACAACCTTGACATATTGGGATGCCGCCCAACTGACCTACCCAGCCAGGGCCAGTATATGATGTGTGTGTTTTTTTAAAAACCTCCAACAAAACTTGCTATTGTTTTTCTGTAGCAGTCTTAAAAGTTTACTGCTGTCTCACTAGTTCGAGCTGCCACACATAGACTCAAGCAATTCATTTGAGTTAAAATACAGATTACTGGTATCGATTTTTCTTTTTAGAGTATTATATTTGACACTATCAACTCTACTTGAAACTGTTATACTGTGTTATTAGGTTTTCCCTATATTTGCTAACTCTTATTTTTTATTTTTAAAATATATTTTATTGATTTTTTTACAGAGAGGAAGAAAGAGGGATAGAGAGTTAGAAACATCGATGGGAGAGAAACATCGATCAGCTGGCTGCTGCACACCTACTACTAGGGATGTGCCCGCAACCAAGGTACATGCCCTTGACCGGAATCGAACCTGGGACCCTTCAGTCCGCAGACCGATGCTCTATCCACTGAGCCAAACCAGTTAGGGCTCTTTTTTTTTTTAGATTAATTATAGGCAAATAACATCTTGAAATTTCTGTATAACTAGGAGATACAAGCAGTAGCAATAGCTGAAGATCCTCTTTTTTAAAGATTTGGGCAAAGAAAAGTAAATTAAAAAAATAAAAAGATTTGGGCAAACAGTCTTCTAAAGAAAGAGCCATTCTTAACAATTATTACCTTAGAGGCAGGAGTGGCTGCCAATACCGCAGAGCCAAATCCAGAATAAAAATCTAAACACTCAGGAAAGAGCAAAAGGATGTATCTTTAAACCTATCATTTATATATTTATATGTATATTTATATAAGCTAGAGGACTAAGGCATTTATCCAAATCCATCTACATTCATTATGAGGCACTTTTTCTAGACTCCCAATTAGAATTTGAAATATATGCCCAGAAGATGCCACTACTTGTTAAAGGAAAAACAAAAACAAAACCCAACCCACCAAATAAAACCCAAAACCCCAACCCTTATTTTCCTATCTAAGACTTCACAGTTGCCCAAGTGCTCTGAAATCCATCCTTTTCTCTGATACACTACGTGCTGCTACTCAGTGTCCAGACATGGTCTTACCCGTTCTGCCGTCCCGTTCTGTGGGTTTGGTTCCTTGGGCTTTCCGAATATGTAGCCTCTGCCTACAGGCCTTGCCCTGCCCAGAGCTGAGTCCAAAGGATTAGGAGCTTGTAGCCAAGAGCCTGGCATCTGTACATACTGAGATGGGTGCCCAGAAGGGCTCCTGAAGGGTGGTCGGACAGGATCCATTGAAAGGCTGCAGAGGGTTCGGGTGCAGATCCTGTTCTGATTAATTACCTGCCAGCATTTTATAAATATTAAAGATTCCCGACTGCTTTCCTTTTCCTTCAAGACAGACTCACAAAGCATTACACACACACACACACACACACAAACACACACAAAACCACACAAACAAACGTACTTTGGGTGATACAACCAGCCTCCTGTATCATGTTCACTTCAAAAGCTTCTATGTATCCCAGATTATTCTAAACCCTCCCCATGAGCAATCCCTTAGACTTAGGCTAAGCACTCCTTGAATTTTCCTATATTCTCTGCCTAAACAGCCTCTTTGAGGACTCAATCCTACGTTAACTGTTTTAGAAAGAGGTATATTTTATGGATGAGCATGAGTTAACAGACATATCGTAATATTGTCAACCAATATTCCCGTAATTTTTTTCCCAGTTCATTATCACATGAACCAAACTCCACCAAACCTTTTCTGCTTTGAGCCCACAATACCTGCTAAATTTCAGGTGACATTTAACGCCTTTTTCTCCCCCAGGTAACCAGGGATGGGGCTCTTCCTGCTTCCCAAATCTCAGGTCCTCCTCAAAACCACTTCATCGCCTGTAGCGCTCAGGAATCCTTCTTTAAGGGACTTCGTTGTCGTGACCCACCCCTAACCCCTGAAGCATCTTTCTTAACTGAAAATTTACGTAAGCCTCTTCTTAACTTCTGCAAGCCTGTTTTACGGATTCGCTGGAGAAACCGGGTCATGCACATAAAGAAAAGACTGACAGGCAATTCTTCAGTCAATACTATAAACGAAGGCGGTCCAGGATCTACCAGAAACAATTTTAACTGGCCTGTCCTCTTTTACACTAAAATGGCAGGGTATGCCCCCTTCCTCCAACGCTGTCCCCTTTAATTCCTTAAACGCCTTTACTGAAGGGCAATCAGTTTCCAGAACCATCAGCTGCCTACACGGGACACACTGACGCGCTTGAACACCTACCAAGTAAGGATTTCGCTTGAACACCTACCAAGTAAGGATTTCTGGAATCTTCGCCTTGCCCCGCCCACCCTCACCTCCATCCGCCCCTTTCCGGATGTGGGCACCTCCTTCAGGCCTCCCTTCCGGTTGGTTTAGCAGATGGCTGCCTGGCCAGGAGGTCCCACAGGGAAGGGTCCCAGTACAGGCTGGCAGCACGGCCTACCGTCCCCACTCCCGGTGGGAACTTGGTGGGGCGAGGAGGATGGGGGCCTAACCGGGAGGAGCCCCCTCCCCCCGCCACTCCCACCCTGAAGGCAAATCCTACCCTCCTTCCACCTCTGAGAAGCGCAACATTCCCCATACCCGGAGTTCCTGCCCACCATTTTGATCCACGTAACACTTACGCCCATGAATCCCTCCCTCCTTCCTACCTTTTCGAGGCCCTGCGTCCTCCTACAGAAACAACCACTTCCCTCCCCCGGCCGCCCCCTCCCCCAGCCCGCAGCCCCTGCCCACGGGCCTGCACCGGAGCGACCTCGGCCTTCCACACCCGCGTTGTATCCACTCACCGGGGCCCTCGCCCTCCCCCGGCTCGGCGGGCCTCAGGAAAAGCCTGCATTCAACGCACCTGCCACGCCCAAGAACCCACATGGTCAGGCCCCAATTTCCCGTCCTCTCGCGGGACCTCAGCAACTGAGCCCATTGGCCAAACGACATGCCGCTCAAAGATCCAGCGACCTCATTGACTCGCCTGCAAAAAGAGCCACACCCTGCCTGGCAGCCCCGCTCCTGTACCAAAGGGATACGTAGAAACGGGGCCGGAAATTAGGAGTGAACCTAAGCGTCAAAATGTGTCACGTTTTTAAGATCCGGACTCCCTTTCTGTAGGCAACTCCTGTAAACAGATTTAGCTCATGCGCTCAGGCTGAAATTGACTTGCCTCATCCTTTCCAGTTAGAGCAGTGGTTCTCAACCTGTGGGTCGCGACCCCTTTGGGGGTCGAGTGACCCTTTCACAGGGGTCGCCTAAGACCATCGGAAAACATATATAATTACATATTGTTTTTGTGATTAATCACTATGCTTTCATTATGTTCAATTTGTAACAATGAAAAGACATCCTGCATATCAAATATTTACATTACGATTCATAACAGTAGCAAAATTACAGTTATGAAGTGGCAAAGAAAATAATTTTATGGTTGTGGGTCACCACAACATGAGGAACTGTATTAAAGGGCCGCGGCGTTAGGAAGGTTGAGAACCACTGAGTTAGAGGATATAGGGATGTGGTGGTGAATTGGAAAGAGTAAACGAGTTTACATTTAAGCACCTAATTATGTGATCTCTGTGCCTCACTTTCCTCATTTATAAAATAAGAATAAAAGCATCCATTTATAGAGTTGTATGGGAATGTACATACATTCATGAGAGGAGGTATGTCAAATACTTAGCACAAGGAATAGATTGCCTGCAATAAATGTTGCCTATCGTTATTTTTTGATGCCTAAATCTGTGAGCCAAGAAGAGCTTTCTTCAAATGATATGAAAGTATTGGTGTTTAATTCTGCTATAACTGAATATTTTCACCCAAAGACATTTCTCTCGCCCATCCATTTTGCCAAATAATTGCATCCTTTGCCAACCCCAATGTTTCTGAGGTGATTGGAGTCAAGATTCAAGAGACTTTGGCTTACCCTGTAGAGACATGCAAAAGCTCTGCATGGTATAAGGCAGAAGAAGGTTTTTCCAAGCCTTAGATATCTCATATCTTGTTTTAATCCATACATCCAAGGACTCTCCTCTCCTTCCCAATAAAGTTTGAAAATTACTGGAGCAGGGGGATTTTCAAAGCAGGAATCTATTGGCAAAATACCTCTTTGCTCTTTGTAGATATTATTTGTTAATATTATCCTATGTAATAAAAGGCTAATATGCTAAGTGTCTGGTCCACTGGTCTGCCATTCAACCAATCAAAGCATAATATGCTAATGATATGCTTAAGGCCACTCAACCGCTCACTATGATGTGCACTGACCACCAGGGGGCAGACACTCCGACTGGTAGGTTAGCTTGCTGGTGGGATCTGAATGATCGGGACTGAGCGAGAGAGACTGGGCTGGACATGCCCTGGAGCCCTCCCATGGCCCCTCCTCTGCTGACCAACTTCCTGCATTCCTCCCCAGCCCTGATCATGCACTGGTGGGGTTCCTCGGCCTGGCCTGTGCCCTCTTGCAATCTGGGACCCTTCTGGGGATGTTGGAGAGCCGGTTTCAGCCCGATCCCACAGGCCATACTGAGAGACCCCACTGGTGCACGAATTCATGCACCAGGCCTCTAGGATCATATAACATTGTTAAGTTCTTCTACTGCACAACCTTATGTTATAATAACATATAGGCAGTATTATTTTGTTGCCCATGCAAATATTTAGCAGCAAGTTCACTTGAAAACAGTTATACAGCCCAGCAGGTGTGGCTCAGTGGTTGAGCATCAACCTATGAACCAGAAGGTCACAGTTTAATTCTGGGTCAAGGCACATGCTCAAGTGTGGGCTTGGTCCCCAGTAAGAGGCAGCCAATCTATGATTCTCTCTCATTATGGATGTTTTTTATCTCTCTCCCTCTCCTTTCCTCTCTGAAATCAATAAAAATATTTTTTTTAAAAGTTAAATAAGGTCATAAAGATAGGGCCCTATTCTGATAGGATTGATGTCTTTAAAGGAAGAGGAAGAGACACCAGAAATCTCTCTTTCTCTTCATGTGAGCAGAGGAACAGCCATGTGAGGACACAGCAAGAAGGTGGCTGTCTACAAGCCAGGATGAGAGCTCTCACCAGAAACCAAATTTACTGGTGCCTTAATCATGGACTTCTAGCCTCCAGAACTGTAAAAAAATTAAATGTCTGTTGCTTAGGCTGCCCCATCTGTGATATTTTGTTATGGTAGCTTTAACTGACCAATATAATCATAATCATTAGCAAGGATGTTATAGTGTAAGTGCCTGAGATTAAGCTTTTGATTGCCAAGGCACACATTTCGAAGACATCCATCTTGAATAAACATATTGTCAGCCAAACAACTAGATCAAGAACTAGGCTGCCCCCACCCATGAAGTCCCCCTTTTAGAAAGCCCTAGGTAACCTAGATAACTGACCTCTTGAAAACCCCTACTTTTACCTTCCTGGACCCTAATTTCTACTCTTACGTTTTTCTTTTCTTTTTTTTTTTACTCTTCACCCAAGGATATGTTTGTTGATTTTATTGATTTGAGAGAGGAAGAGAGAGAAAGAGAAAGAGAGAGAGAGAGAAACATTGATGTGAGAAAGAAACATGGATAGACTGCCTCCCCTACATGCCCTAACCGGGCACCAAACCCAAAACCTGGGTATGTGCCATGACCGAGAATCAAACCCACAAACCCTTTGGTATAGGAGGACAACCTCCCACCAACTGAGCCATCGGGCCAGGGCCTGCTCTTATGCTTCAAATTTGTCAATAAAGAGTGATCCATGAAACCTTAGGCACCTCACCCTCCACCCTAATGAAGCCAGAACCCCAGGTCTGCGCTCTCTTCCCTTGCCCCAATTACGTTGCTGTGTACCTTCCAGGATTTGTAAGTCATAAGCCTTGCTTTTTCCAATTTCCCTGATGGTTTTTGCTGAGGTGCATCTTGCTATCACAAGAGCCCCAGCTATAACATTGGCCCTGACCAGAAAATGTCTGAGACTAGCAAAAGAGATGTGGCAAAATCTGGAACCCTAATACATCCCTGCTGGGACTATAAAATGGTGCAGTCACTTTAGAAAACATTTAGCAGTTTCTCAAAAAGTTAAACAAGAAATTATTGTAGGAATAAAAAGTTCCATTTCTGACCCTGAGTGATGTGGCTCAGTTGGTTAGAGCATCGTCCTGTACACCAGAAAGTCACAGGTTCAATTCCCAGTCAGGGCACATACCTAGGTTGAGGTTTGGTCCCTTCTGAGGTGAGTGTGGGAAACAACTGATTGATGTTTCTATTCTCACTCAC